TGTCTTTTTGAAACAGGGTCTCCCTGTAGCCCCAAATGTCCTGGAATTCACTATGTAGATCAGGCTGGCCTTGAACTCAGAGATCTGCCTGCCTCTGCCTTCCAAGTGCTGGGATCTTTTTTATATGTGTGAGTTTTTTGCCTACACCTGTATCAGGCAATACCCACAGAGGCCAGAAGAAAGTGTCAGATCCCTGGAACTGAAGTTATAGACCTCAGTACCATGTGGGTGCTGGGGACTGACCCCAGGTCCTCTGAAAGAGCAGTCAATGCTCTTAACTACTGAGCCATCTCTCCAGCCCTCCCAATGGCTTTTTACTAGACCATTTCTAGATACCAGGGAGTCGGTAGGACACTGAACACTATAGTGAGAAAAGACAAAAAGGTAATTATAGGAATATATGTCAGTGTTCTAAAGAGTGGTAGATTTATTTTTTAGAGTAATCAGGGTTCTGGAGAGCTGGCTCAGCAGTTGAATGTTTGCTGCTCTTCCAGAGCACCTGAATTGGGTTCCTAGCATCCATGTTGGGCAGTTGACAACTGCCTGTAACTCCAGCTCCAGGGGATCCAACACCCTCTTCTGGCCTCTCCAGGCACCTGCAAACACATGGCACACACAGATACACATGCTTACACATAAATAAAAATAAAGAGTCATCAAGAAGGCTTCTCAGAGATGACATTTTAGCGGTGGGAACAATGGGAAGAACAAGCCACGCAGACATCTGGAGGCTCATTCTAGGTAGCAGACACATGAAGTGCAAGTGCCCAGATGTAAAATTGTTCTAAACGTTTTGGAAAAGGGACCACTGAGCCTAGATCAAACAAGGGAAAGAAGGCAGTCTGGGGTTGGGGTAACACTTGATAGAGTTTGAACAAGGTCACCATATTGTAAATCTCAATTTAAGTAGTATTTGAGATATGTGGTAATTATAGCTTTTTAAATGGTTGCTTTAGATCTTGAATATTTAATTCCTTGTTATGTTTAAAATTTGTTTTAAAAAGAAAACAGCAGCTAACATTAACTCCTCTGATATGCTAAGTGTTTTACAGTTTCTAATCTTTGCAGTCCTGTAAGGTGTGTGTAATTTTACAAATGGGAAATGGAGGTTCACAGTGGATCAGGTAACCTGCCCCAGGCTGAATGGCTCCTAAACACTTAGGCAACCTGGGACAGCCAATTCTGATTCTATTCTGCTGTCATGCTCTACTGCCTTCATTATTACCCTCATAAAAGCTGGGGACACAAAAGGACACAGTATATTACCCACATCCTGTTTCTCAAACTTTCTTTATCCATGACACACAAATACATTTTACACCCTAAACACAGTACATAAAGTCAGGCACATGTAGAAACAAGTTTCACAAACACATCCTCACATATTTCTTTCTTTTTTTTTGGTCTTTTTGAGACAAGGTCTCCCTGTAGCCCCAGCTGTCCTGGAACTCACTATGTAGACCAGGCTGGCCTTGAACTCACAGAGATCTGCCTGCCTCTGCTGGGATTAAAGGTGTGTACCACCACACCCGGCTTTTTTACATTTTTTTCTTTCTTTTTTTTTTATAGCATCCTCATTTAATGAAATGTTACAAGTTTTCATTTTAGAATACTTGTTGCCACTTTTTAATGATTTACAATCCCAAAATTTAAATAGAGGATTGAAACAGAAATGGCCACACAATTAGAACAAAGCAAAAATAGTTCTAGTTCATTCTCAACCATTTACCTTTTTGTTTTTGTTCTCTCTTATGCCCAAATCACTCTTCATATTTCCTGCCTATTAGAAAAACAGACTTTTCTGGAGGGGAGGAGAGTTGGTACTAGTTTCTAAATTTGTGCTTGAATAAAAACTAAAAATTCAGTGTGTCAGCTGTCAAGACAGTCCACAGATGGTATAAAATATTTGCAAATGTCTCATGAGTGATAGATAAATCGAGTCAAATCAGAACGCACCAGGACAGACAAGAACTCTGGCAGAATAGAGCTTATTGGCAGAGAAAACGCATGGGACAGTCTCTAGTTTGGGATGGAGAAGCTACTGGTTTACAGGCTTGATGGCTGAGGACTTTTATAGGGAGTTTGGGGGGATGTGGAAGGCGGGAAGATATTTCTTAAAACGAGTTAGGCAGGGGAGAGTGTCCAGGGCTTATCAGGAGAGGGCAGCCTCTATCAAACCAGCTCATTCATCCCATTCCATCAGCCAGGATCTGGGTCATGGGATAAGGGGTCTGTACATTGTGGAACTTATCAGGGGGGAAATAGCTTGTACTAAGATAATTCCTACGTCAGTGGATACGGGGTGCAGGGGCCTGTTTGCTTTCTAAGATTATCAAAGGGGAAGCAGGCTGTGCCGAAACAGCTCTTTGCAGTAATCGGGTCTTGGGTCAAAGGTGTAGAGTCTATTTACCTTGTCTCCGGATGGTCAGGGTGCTCATTAACTCAGTTCCTGTAATCCAGGGGGCTTGCAAAACCGTGAGGCCCTGTTGCATTGGGGAGCGGGTTGCTATAGATCCGAACCCTAACAATGAGAAACTTGAATATATAAACATATAGAGAACTATTAGTACTCAGTAATCCAGGTAACCCAATTTAAAATGAACAAAAGATCTAAATATATTTCTCCAAGGGAGACCGAGAACCTAATCAAAACATGTTTAAATGCAAAAGACCCATGCAACTTCAAACCCAACAAAAACCCAGCACAGAAGAAGGGAAATGGTAAGAAGCCCCAACCTGAGCTGAGGAACCATGGGCAACCAATGACAGGGAGAGCTGGTTTCCTTCAAGGGAGTGGTGCTATCTACCTGACCAGGCTCCAGTAGATGGACATTTGGGGACATAAACTTAGCTCAACAGGCTTTAACATATGACAGAATGCAAGAAATTCAGTGGGGAGGGGGGATTATAGGGGTACAGATAGGGAGGGGGTCCAAATTTGATCAAGATATATGAAATTTGTGAAAATTCAATTTAAAAAACTTTCCTGAAAAAAAAACAAATCCAACAAAACATGCTTAACGTCATTTAGTCAACAGGAAATACAGATCAAAACCCCCAGGAGATGCACAGCCGTTAGAATGACCAAATTAGAAGGTCCAAGTCTTGTTGAGGATGTGGACAGAACCCTTGTATGTCCTACCAGAGGAAATATAAAATAGTGTAACTGCTTTAGGAAACAGTCTAGCAGTCCCTCAAATGCTAGTTACCATATGGGCCAACATAATGTTGACACAAAGCCTGTGTATAGCAGAACTATTCATGACAGCCAGAAAGTAGAAACAACATGTCTTCATCAGCTAGTAAAGGATAAAATGTGGTCTAGCCCTACAGTGGAATGTCATCAATAAAGAGGAAGGGATATTGACACAGGATACAACATGGGGAACCTTGCAAACATCCAAAGTAAAAGAAGTCATATGAAGTGTCCAGAACCCAGCACCAAGAAGGAAAGTAGTTAATTGGGGGTTGTGGGTAGGGACAGGGAAACGGGGCTGAGGGGAGCAATGGTCCAATAAAAGGCACAGGTTTTGTTTTTAGGTTATAAAAATGCTCTAAAGTTGACTGGTGATGGTTGCACATGTATGAATTGTCTAAAAACCACTACATTTTAAATGGATTCATTTATGAGTCACGTGTCAGTCAAGCTAATTTCAGATTCTCAGTAACCTACCTATATGCCAGTGCCTGACAGAACATTTCCATCGTTAAGAAAGTTATTATGGACAACTGTTCGTATGTAATATTTATCAGTTTCAAAACCAAATTATCATTCACTTTTTCAAAGCAAAAGATAGTAAGTTAGGTATGTTGGTCTTAGTATTAATATGTTTTCAGGTTTCTTTTTCTACTCACGTCCTTCATAGCAAAATTATTTAAATTCTCTGAACTGTTTTAGGTGACTTTTCTACATCACATTAATGTGATGTGACTTCTTGTCCATAAGTTGCTACAACTCATCCTGATATAATCAATTTCCTGATGGCAATAGGCAGCCCAGATTGACATACAGGAGTAATTTGAGAATATCTTTTTATTTTAGATGCACAAATACCTCTCAGTAGCCTGAAGTGTCTAGCGAAAGAACTTAACAAGCTCAAAGCAGAATTCTTGGAAGACCTAAGACAAGGGAACAAAAGACACCTGAAGCAAACCACTTTATCAGATGTTATCTCTTCCTTTTGTAATGAGAAAGACAGTACTGTACTGAAGTATCTTTCAAAGCAACATTAAAACTTCTCAATGTCCAATCAAGGGTCTGATTTCGGTGAACTTTTGCAAATAATTTTCTATTGCTGGGTATTTTCTAGACCAGTATTGTGAATTGACAAAGAACAGTCTAAAGACATCTGTCCATATTAAAATATCCATTTAGCATAACAGAGCTACTTGTCAAATGTGACATAATTAAGCAGGAGAGAGACAGCCTTCCTCACTGATGTGCCAGATGCTGTAGGGAACAGGTTAAATAGATCTGAAAAGAGGAGTGTAATAGTTACTTTCACATAACAGAATACATGACAGAAACAACTGAGAAGAGATTTTGGCTCCGTTCCAGAGGGAGCAGTCCATCAAGGTGTGCAACGGGAGTGGCTGTGTGTGGTCGCAGATGAGTGTGCTTGTTACTTCTCACATGTAGTAAAGGAAGCAGGGGCTCTAGACCAAAACCAGAGGCAGGCCTAACCTTCGTGGCCTGTCCTAGTGCCTGCTGCCACCAGCCAGGCACATCCCCAAGGCTCTACAACCTCTTAGTGCCAACAACTGGGGCTAGCTGTTAAATAGAAAAGCCTATGGAGCACATTTCTCATTTAATCTGTAACTATCAAAAACAAGTTTCAGCAACAGTGAGCTGATCTGTCTTAAACTCATGACGGATCTTTCCATAAGGGATTCTAGAAATCCAACCAGTTAGCCATAAAATCTTTTATTAACATTTTTATGTATTATAAAATCACTAGAAAACAAATTCTGGATTTCAAAAATGTAAAAGAAAAATCAAGGTCATTAGAAAGTATTTTTTATTCATATATTACAAAAGCAAAGCATTCTTCACATAGGAACTAGATACTAGATAGTTACTTCAGTATTAAACTGCTTTCTTGATCCCTCAACAATATAATGTATCTTACAACCATAATGCAAGATTTACGCTTTGCGTACAAAACATGTTCTATACATCAAAGTAATTATCAACAAAAGCAAGTTCTAGAAAGCATATATCTTCTAAGACTAATAAAAAGGTCTTTAACAGGGAATTTTAAGTGTTCTAATAACTTGTTCATTCGATAAATATTTTTCCAGAACTTAAGAGTTATCTTTTTTTTTTTTTTAAGTAATATTCCCTTTGTCAAACAGTTCTGCAGATGAATGGTAAACACTTCTAAAATGGAACAGCACTGGGAATACCTAATGAAATTTTTTTCAGAGTAAAAGTCTAGCCTTCACTTGAATTTCAAGACGTTGTAGCTACATACTACATTAGTAAAATCTGAAATAAAATTATTCCGTTAATCTCTTCACAGTTTCTTTAAAAAATATTAGTGGAGATAAATTACCAACTTTAAAAATCTAAACTTATGTTCACTGAACAAAAATAAATTTAGTTTCAGAACATTGCCTGTTATCAGCAAAGTACTATAAATAGTGCATGTTAAATTTTTCTCAACTCATTTCTATAAAATATTTGGTTAAAACTAAAATGAGGAACATATTTAATATGTAAAGAAAGATCTTTCCTAATACAGAATTAAACTCAACATTTAAGCAAAGTCCTAAAATTTTTTTTTAAAGTACAATTCCAAAAAAGTTTCTAAGGTAGATTTGCTTCAAACTTTTTAGTGCATTCAGAAGTATTTGTAGCCTTAAGCATCATCACCTTTGGAATACCAACTGTGCTCTTTATATTACTGGAAAATTAGAATTTTCTTTCTCATTTGTAATGATGGAAAATCTTTTCCATGTTTAATGTGAAATGTACCTTCAAAACATTCATTTTTAGTTGTTAGGGGGAAAAAAATGCACTTGTCACTGTTTGGCCCAGAATATATGGTTAATAAACTGGTTTTAAGGCGAACTCATCTGGGTTGTTTGGTTTTTAAGACATGTCTTGCAATGTTGCCCAGCCTGGCACAGAACTCCTGGGCTCTAGCAAGCTTCCTTCCTCAGCCTCCCAAGAAGCTGGAATGACAGGCACACACCACCACACTGGGCTTCCTCCCAGTGCTATTTAAGAAGTTTTCATTTTCCATTTTGGGGTATTGCTTTTATTTGAATAAAATTTAAAAAATAGCAAAATTTCCCAATGACAACCTGTTTCTTTCTGGCAACTGATAAATAATAGAGTCAAGTTATGCATTTGGAAATCCCTGCACTACAGTGAATGATTTAAGCAACAGGCCAAAAATGACTAGAAACTTAGGGTGAGAAGGGCTCCCCTCTGGACAAAGTATCCCTGGTGCTGTTTTCCCCCAATGCAGTTGAGATGAGCCAAGACTGTCTATGCCGGTATCACCCGTTATGGCTTTCTAGCACTGAAAGGGAGGGTAAAAGATTCATTAACATGGCACTTGGGTTTGTCATGAGCAGACACCATCAATAGTTCTCTTTTATTTACCATTAAGAAATAGAGGTTATTTTGGGTTAATAAATCTCAACAGAACATCTTTAAGAAGCCAATGGAAATATTAAGTACACAGAAACCAAAAGTAAGTAATAGTATGTTTTACTGCATGGCCAAGCTCTCTTCAGAGTAAGCTAGGTACTATGCAAAATGTAACAGCTTCCTGCTTTAAAGAACTCTATATGTAGTTAGCAAATCTTACTTTTATGAACAAGTGTCATGTTTTAAATGCACTTTACAGTAACATCCACATCTTTTTACCCTTTCCCTCAGCAGTGATAATTCAGTTTCCATATAGGATTTTCACTATACTTGAAGACATAAAACTGCAAATAAGAATTACAATTAGAATTCACAACAAAGTATCTTAGATGGCCTTCTCTGAAAGGAAACTGTGACCTGTCTGGACACACTCTCATTCCTGTGACTATTTCCCCACTATCACATTTCTCCATGTTTCTGTACCCACCTTTTTCTGGAGATTATGGACAATAAATGGACAGAAGGTAAGACAATGAAACTTTGGAGGTTATTTTGAAGCATCTTAATAAGATGGATGAGTTCCACTGTACCTCTTTGGTCATCAGAAGAATAGGAAGAAGATTCTTGTTACAGTTATCAATTTTATGACACTAATAATATCAGAATGAAGAACTCAGATCGAAAAAAGGCATCTAGCACTCTAGTGTATTCATCTGTGCCTTAAACAAAAACAAAAACTAGAAATACTAAAAAAAGAAAAACCAATGAGCCAGGCGTGGTGGCTCATGCCTTTAATTCCAGCAGCATTCAGGAGGCAGAGGCCAGCCTGTCTACATAGCAAGTTCCATGCCAGTTGGGGCTACAGGGAGACTTCGTATCAAAGAAACAAACAAACAAAAAACTGAATGAAAAACTACTGTGTTTAAACTAGACATTGAATAAACAATTTAAGTATCAAACACAATTTTCAACTTAGCCTTGAATTTCAATTTTCAGAACTTTCATTTTTATGATTTTAATTTTAAAAGAATTGTTTTATATTTCCCCTTGTAGAAAAAGATTATACTGAAATAACTTTACTGTTTTCAGCTGAAATAAAACTACTGATTCAACTTAAGTTATGAGAATTAAAACAGCATTTTAATTGAGACAATTTTAAAGGCAGTTTCTCTACAAACACCGAAATAGGCTGTAACATTATGAGAGAAAAATTTGTTCTAACATTTTTGAAATATGGCATAAATAATATTTAGCAGTTATGTAATATAGTGAAATATCAAGAGTACAGATAAACCTTGAAGTCTTTATGGACCATAAATGCAGGAAACTTAACACCTGCTAAGACGTTGATTGTACTTCAATTTTCATAGGTCTAAATGAAATAGAAGATATTAATGTGTCTAACTATCCTAATGCATAAATAACCCTGACCAGATTTTTATGAAAAGTTAACAAAAACTTTTTTCACTATCAAATTTATATTTTATAAATAT